TAATGCCTCATTTACATTATCACCTACTTCTTATCTTGTGAAGGATCTTCACAAGGGGCAACTCTTCTCCAAGGCCCAACCAAATTAGGAATTTATGAATGGAAACCTACTCATCCTATCGTTCACTCTGTCAAAATGGCATCCACTACCAATTGACATCATTGGTTAGGTCATCCATCGTATTCTATTTTACATCATATTAGCAATTATTTCAATTTAAATATTCCCAAGTCTGTTTCTTTTCCTTGCAATTCTTGTGATTGTAATAAAAGCCATAAATTATCGTTCCATCAAAACACCTCACAATCTAAAGGCCCTCCTGATATTCTTTACAGTGATCTTTGGACTTCCCCACCCTCTCCTATTATGGCTACAAATACTACATAATATTTGTTGATTATTATTCCAAAAATGTGGGTTTTATCCACTCAAACGCAAAAATTAGGCCATTACCGTTTTTATCAAATTCAAACCTCAAAGCTGAATTTTTTTCTCAAACGATCCATCCTTACTATCTTTAGTGATAATGGTAGTGAATATATTGGTTTACATCCTACTCTTGAATCTCATGACATCACTCACCTAATTTCCCTGCCTCACATGCCCGAGCATAATGGCTACTCGGAGCACTGTCATCGTCACATTGTTAAAATCGGTCTTTTTTTCTCACCCACCCTTCTATGCCACGAAAATATTGGTCTCTTGTTTTTGCTACTACTTGTTACCTCATAAATCGTATGCACACTTAATCTTCAATGTCCTTATTATAGACTTCATTGTCACACACCTAACTACTTTAAATTGCATACTTTTGGGTGTCTTTGCTACTCTTGGTTCCGTCTGTATACCAAAAATAAACTTGATCCTCGTTTATCTCCTTGTACTTTTGCTGGATATTATGCCATTCAAAGTGCTTATTATTGCCTTGATCCTACCTCTAACAAGATATATGTCTCTTGTCATATTAAGTTTATCGACCATGAGTTCCCCTTCTCCACATCCTCCTTTGTCGCATGTCTACACACATCCAATGATATGGAAGAATAGTGTGCCCTCCAACTTCCCATATTACCCATGAAACCTCCCCAAAGTACATCTACACCTTCTATTTCCCCATCAAATGCCATTAATTCTCCCTCTGTGACACATTCTCTCTCTTCTACTTCCTCATCACCTCCTAATCCTCCATCTCCTCCCCGACCATGACCTCCCATCACAAGACTTCAAGACAACATTCATAAACCTATTGATAAAATGAATCTTCATGTCTCTTTCCAACCCACTAATACCGAGCCTACCACTATAATACAAGCATTGCAAAATCCTGTATGGCATGAAGCTATGTAAGGGGCTGTTTGGCAATTGCTGAATGGTTTGTTGCAGAATGATTAAGAGGTTCTCATAATATAATGTAAAATGAAATATAATTGTTTGGTAATTGTATACAATGAGATTAGGGCTCTTAATGGTTAAGGGAGATTCATGATACAAAATCATTCAGATGGTTTTAGAACCATTAAGAGAGAGATTTTTGTTTTTGCCAAACAATATTCACCTCTTAACGATTCAGAGGTTGCCTCTTAATGGAACTATTAAGAGGAAAACAAACAACCCCTAAGATGAGTATAATGTTTTACTCAAAAATCACACATGCTTCTTCTCCATCTCAAAACTTTATTGAATTCAAATGGGTTTTTCATGCCAAATATAATCCCGATGGCTCAATCAAGCATTATAAATCCTATCTAGTTGCTAAGGATTCCACCAAAGACCCGATCTTGACTACAACAAACCTTTTAGTCCTGTGGTTAAGTCGGACACAATCCGGATGATTCTCTCTCTAGCTATCACGCATGGTTAGTCTCTTTGTCAAATTGACATTAATAATGCCTTCCTTCAAGGCTCCCTAATGCAGGATGTCTTTATGGTTCAACCACCCGGTTTCATTAGTCAAACTCATCCCTATCATGTATGCAAAATCCATCAAGCTCTCTATGGTCTCAACCAAGCTCCAAGAGCTTGGTACAATGAACTCAAATATTATCTACTCGGTTGTGGTTTCAAAAAATCCATTCTAATGCTTCACTCTTTATTTTATGTCATAAAAATAATCATATCTTTCTTCTTGTTTATGTTGATGATATCATAATGACTGGACCAAATCACACTCTTTTAAAGTCCTTTATTTCTCGACTCTCAAATCGTTTCTCACTTAAGGATATTAGCACTCTTTCTTATTTCTTTGGAGTGGAAGTGGAAGTCTTCTCACCTTCTTGGCATTTTTCATAGCCAACATAAATACATACAAGACCTCCTCACACGTACTCACATAGCAGTCACCAAACCTATTCCTACTCCCCATGGCTTCTCATCTTATCCTAACATTACATAATGGAATCCCCTTGGCCAACCGTACTGGATACAGGGAATTTGTGGGTAGTCTCCAATATTTATCTCTAACCAGAATACATGCTTCTTTTGTTGTGAACATGTTATCTCAATACATGCACAAGCCGACTGAAGAACGTTGAACAGCTCTTAAGCGACTCTTAAGCTACCTAGTGGGCACATATATACAAGGTTTACTACTACGTCTTGATTCGCCCACTACTTTCCATGTCTTTACAGATGCTTCCTAGGCTGGTGATAAAGATGACTACATTTTACTGACCAACCACATTGTTTACATGGGTTGAAATCCTATTTCTTGGAGTTCATATAAGCATGCACTCTTGCTCATGGATCGACAGAAGCCGAATACTGAGTTGTTGCTGCTACAACTATAAAGAGGTATTATGGTCCAAAACGTACTTCATGAGCTAGGTCATCAACCCATCATAGAACTAGTAATATATTGTGATAATATAGGAGCTACATATGTTGTCAATCCTAAGTTTCACTCAAAAATGAGCACCTTGCTCTTGACTATCATTTAGTTCATGAGAATGTCCAAACTCGAAGATGTGTGTTTCATACATCTCCAGCAAGGATCAACCGTTGATGCTCTTACTAAGCCACTTGCAAGAACACAGTTCAGATACTAGCACGTTTACACATAAATACAACATTATACACAAAGGCCATTTGGCTTCGTATTTGGTCGTTTTGTAATAATAACACAACCAGACAACTATTGAACGTCCCATATTATATACCCACTCTGTTAAATCTTTTAGAGAGTACACACATGAAATTTAATTTTTTGTTATAACTTTTATTTATTCTTGTTCTCATAAGTATCAATACACCTAAATGTTAAATAACATAAATAGTATACCTTCAACCACAAGGGTAGTGCCTGATTGGTTTGATCTTAGGTTCCAAAGGTCAAAAATGTTTGGAGACCCCAGGTTCAAATCCAAGGAGGAATAAAAATCCCCTTTGTAGCCATGGAGATTCAAATGCAGTGACTCTGGGCTACCCGCAAAGCAGGTGGTAGCTCTGGGATTAATCGGCTCGCATAGCGGGTTGGATATCCAGGTTAATAAAAAAAAATAGTATACCTTCTCGGTGACAAATTCTGATGTTGGCGCCATATCTTCTCCCCAACTTGCCATTTGCAAATTTGATTATCAAAACGTGATGAAATAAAAGTGTTTGAACTGGTAAGACGAATAAAAGTAACTAGTTATTATGTGTTGGAAGGGGTATAAAAGGAATAACGAAGACATGATATTATAGGTTGCCTAGGAGGTGTATGAAAAGAATCTTGATTGAATATTTACACTTTTTATACGTACAAAAATTTTCATTTGTTTTCTTTACTTCCTTTGTCTTTTCATTTTTCATTTTATACATTTATTATATTTATACTGTTCCAAATGACACCATACGTAAATATAAAAATGTTCAGTTTTTGGCTTATTATGAAGGTATTAACAAGATGATTATAATATTATAATTTATAAAAAAAACTTCTATTTTTTGAATTGTATTTTAGCTAATATATGCTTATATACGTTATATGATAACGGTGTAAAGTAAAAAATGAAAAATGAAAAACTAAATGATATAAAATAAATAACTTAATTATAAAGTGTAAATATTAATTAAAATCATGCGTACGAACATATGTATTTATGATATTTAATAATATGATTAAATTTAAAAATATTAAATAATGAGCTTATTTTAAGGTATTTACGAGACGATTATAATAGTGTAATTTGTAGTATTTTTTAATGTGTTTTAGTTAATATATGACTATATATGTTGATATGATAATAGTGTAAAATAAAAAATAAAAAAATAAGAATATAAAACAAATTAAATAAATAACTATAATGATACAAAATGTAAATATTAAAACATTATCAAAAAAGTCATGTATTTATGATATGTTAATATGAGTAAATCTAAAAATATTCAATATTTGGTTCTTTTTAAAGATATCAACGAGAAATTTATCAACGAGAAATTTATAATGGAGAATTTGTAAAAAAAACGTTATTTTTAAATATATATTTTTATTTAATATATGACATTATATATTAATATAATAAAAGTCATGTATAATAAAAGATAAAGATATAAAATAATAAAATAACAAATGATATGAAAATAACTTAAAAAATAAAAAAAATTAAATTATTAGTTTGGGTGACTTTATGGATAGCTACGTTTGATCATTACTTGTCCTCCTTTTATTCAACATCATTTAAACTTCAATAAATTATTATACGTTAAAAAAAACACTGTTTTTTTTGGGACCCAACACCAAAACTTTTCTTTGGCTGTATCATAACACGTAAGAATTTCAATCATGATGTTTAAATGTTTGAAAACATCATCTAAACAATGCATGTTTTTTATTTATGGAAATTAGGCAGATATGGTACGTAAGATATGGTACGTACGAAATGTCAAAAGACGTAACAAGAATGGTTATATCTAAATAGAAATTCTGAATTTGTTGATGAAACTAAACAAAGTGACAAAGCCGCCTATAAATGAGACATATTTGCATATCAAGTAACTTAAAAATCAGCAAAAATCCAAACATGGCCTTGACCACAAATTTCTCTTCGGCCTCTAGAGAGCAAAGATGGGTTGATCAAATAAGCAAGAAATTCATCAGGGAAGTCACTATTGACATATCTGATGGAAACCCTATCTGTGTTTTCAATGTTCCAAAATCGATTACTGCTTTCAAACCTGAGGCTTATATCCCTGAGGTGATTGCTTTAGGTCCATATCATCACATGGATCCACGTTTATATCATATGGAAAGGTATAAGCTTGCTATTGCTAAGTCGTTTTTCAACCAAAGATACCCTCAACAAGAAAACAAGAAGTTCCAGGAACTATTGATCAACAAACTCAAAGAGCTAGACCCCATTGTCAGAGGATGCTACCATAGTTACTTGGACTTAGATGACAATACGTTATCTTGGATTGTAGCCATAGATGGTTTGTTCTTGCTTAATTTTTTACAAGATTACTTTGTTAATCTTGAAGGTAAAAAGATGCAAGCACGAGACTCCATTCTTTCTAGGGACCTGATGTTGTTAGAGAACCAAATCCCCTTAGTTATATTGGAGGAAATTTCTAAAACAATCAAATATGATTCGTCTGAAAAAATAGAAGATGAAGTTGAGTTGCTAATTATGATGGAGACTTTTTGTCGAACAAACTCTCCTCTCAAATTGGCATCCATTTCGCAGTGCTCTTACCATGCAACAAGCCACTTGCATTTGTTGGATTTCATGTACCATTTGATAGTCAACAACGGTCTATCTGATACCCTAAGATCCCCTCAAGATGAAGAAGAAGTAGCGAATGAGGATGAGTCAGAGGAAATCGAGGTAGTTGAAGAGGATATGAACACCATTCGCGATAATATTAGTGAAATAACAAAAATAGGACTTAAATTTGGGATTGGTGGAAAAATCTTGAGCCCAGTCCAGGTTATACAAGACATGCCATGGGATAAAATCTTGAGCATTTTAGGCCTAAAACCTAGGGATCCTAGCAAACATGAAGGTCCTATTGTGGAGGAAATTAAAATTCCATCTGTTTCTTCTCTTCATTACTATGCAGGGATAACATTTAGGTCCACAAGCAGGGGTATAAGGGACATAAAGTTCGTAGAAGAAGAAGCTGCTTTATACTTACCTGTAATAACCCTAGATGTTAATTCAGAAGCACTATTCAGGAACTTGGTAGCTTATGAAATCGCTATGAACTGTTCACATTCCAGCCACTCACTTTCGGAATTCATTGATCTGGTAAGTGGTATTATTGATGATGCCGAGGATGCAAGATTGTTAAAGCAAAAGGGAATCATTGAAGGGAGCCTAACAAATGACCAGATTGCTAAGCTATTCAATGGGATGAACAAATCAACCAAGAATTCTAAAAACAAGACAGTTTCAAAGATTAATAACTATTACAAGAAGAGGCTGGTTGTAAAGTTGTTTAAGTTCATGAAAACAAAGTTGTTTTCTTCGTTGAAGGTGATTACTAGTCTTTCAACTGTTTTGTTGTTGATGCTTCTACTATTGTACTCGTTTTGCAAGTTCTATGGTTGTTCCAAGCTCTTTGGCGGGAGCAGCAGTAGCTAGGCATCAAGACTATGTGAATTATTATTATTATTATTATTATTATTATTATTATTATTATTATTATTATTATTATTATTATTATTATTATTATTATTATTATTATTATTATTAT